ATTTGCAACGCGTTAGGCGCGCTCGTGCGCATGTTACGAAGATCCTATACACTTTTGTAACTGAACAATCATGACGGCTAAAAGCATCAAGAACAACGTACATCGATGTGTAATCATTGCTATATTACAAATTTATTACAAATTCCTTTTAATTTAATTTGCAGAATATCGAGAGCAATACGCAGGTTTATCCCCCACGTTATCCCGTTATTTCCTAAAGATAATAACATGTAAAACCGTCAAATGGTATCGATTTTCATTTCACAGCCCAGCCACGATTTTATCTTTTATCAGTTCAGTCTAAAAATATATATGATATGACAGGTTATTTATTTGAACAGTCATTCCCTATATATTCAAATATCGGATCGATACTTTACTGCGATATAAACGGTGGCGAATACCAACGGCAAACGGCAATGACTAAAATTAATGTTCTCCTAATGTGTTAGTAATTGTATAATGCATGCGTCTCTTTCTTTCAACTAGATTATTATATACTTACACGGACTTGCTGAAAATTGTAATAGTGTTATAACTACGGAATCCATTAATGCTACGACTAAATTACTTGAATTGACGATGTTATGTATATATGTTATGTATAAAATAAACGAGAATGGTTCTTTCCGCAATTAACTACGTTTAATTTCATTAAGAATTCAAGCAATGTTAAATGTATATCAAGGAAATAATAATTTAGGATTAAAAAAAATTAAAAGGTAGCATGCATCCTTTGATAGAGAGAAAAATTAGTACTAAACCTACATAAAAAAAAAAAGAGAAAGATTCTCTAATTAAATAATCTATGTAAATCATAGAATATACGATAAAGGGAAAATATAAAGGGGAAGAGAGGTATTTTAATAACGAAAGAAAAATTGTCCGTCTAAAATACATGAGAGTAGTTAGTATAAATTGAACTATATAAATATATGTCGAGAAAATATAATACACATAATATAGTACGAGTATATGGAACGTAATATCATGCAAAAAATGCAAAGTTAGTCATTATCATAAGGAACGTAACAACGCAAGCACCATTCCAAGTAAACAGAGCTGGTAAGACGGATGTAATATAAAATGCTTCCCAGACAACGACAAACGCAAACGATATACCGTGGCAATGTACCGTAATGATACGAAAATAGAAAGACACGTAGGTAAGGAGGAGTATCACTTTTACATTCTTCCATCGTCATTCCAAGTCGCTCTCGCGAGAAAAATCCGGGGAAAGGGGGAATTGTATAAAACCAGAAACAGGTTAACTACGCGAATGCATGCTTATGCACACCCGTGTCATAAACAATTGTTGCATTACATTAGCACAACGTCTCGAATATCACAACTCGCTACGATACTCTACCTAGTGTAACATTCGCGGAAACGTCCTTTAAAAAAAATCTGAATACACGTGGATATAATACTTCTACGCTCAAGACTGAAATATATAATCTCAATTTCTCGAGGTCTACATCGATCTCGGCGATACTGCTTGTGGAAAACGTAACGGAATATAGGGAACTATATCAAGAGTCAATACATTTTATATTGGGCCTTACCCCGGCACACCGGATCAACGTACTCTGGGATAGGCCGGGTGTGCTATTGTTGAATTACTTCGCTATCGAAAGATATCGCCCTCGTTAAAATTTCCGCAAATAGAACCGTTCCCGTTCTAATAACGTGATACCTCGTGAAAATCTAATTATCTCCCGAATTATCTGACGAGCATGCAAACAAGTAAAGTCGGCGATACATCTGTCGTCTGCACGATTTCCATCTGTCGGAGCATTCCCCGCTTGCGTCGAGCCTCGATTTCCAAACGGCAAATGAAAATTTTATCGAGCTACTATCCTCGAAGATATAAACGAAAGAAATCGGGATATGGCGGCACCATGCCAGGTATTATATTGCTTTCGATAGAGCGCGACTGTGCGATTTCGGACTTGTCGACCTTTTTCCTTTCTCTGCCGTCCCAATCTCGTCTTTAATGCGCTTAAAAAAAAAAAACATTTCAGCGATTAACGAGGACAATTAATGGGTATTTTCGCCGAATTGCTCCCTTCGAACTCGATGCTTCAAACGTGAAGACAAACTACGTGAGTAGTACGACCAGATATATGAAGCATATCCAAGCGTAAGTAGTAACGGACATCTTTGGGGTGGCCGAGTGCAAGTAGTACGACCAGACATATGTAGGACGTTGGCGCGTAAGTAGTAACGGATGTATTTGGCATGGCCGCGTGCAAGTAGTACAACCAAACATGTGTAGTACGTCCGTCGGCGCGTAAAAGTAGCAACGGACACGATACGGCTGAATAAGTAGTACGACCAAATATATAGTAGTACAGGATACTTGTACGGCGGAATAGAAGGAATGCAACCGGATATAAGTAATACGCATCCATACGTAAATTGCACAGGATATACGTAACGCGATCAAGTAGAAATAATACGAAAAATATCAGTACACGTAAAGATCGCGTTGAAATGAATATATACATACGTATATGCTGATCGTAAGCGCCGTGGCGGCAAAGGTAGTACCATGAAACTGAAAAGTGCAGTATAGTACACTCGTTGCATGATGAACACAAAGCGAACTCGAAAGCACGTAGCGTTCCATTTGACAAATATTACGAAAGTCTGGCATGTACCCTATAATACGACTCTCAAAGTACTCTCAAAGAATATATACGGATAATCGGAGCGAGAAATTTGATTGTAAAAGATTCATAACGTTGCAGACAAGACGTTTAAAACCTTATCCGTCATTTTTTTTTTTACCTCGAATTTATAGAAATTAATTTCATCAATTTTGTTTTTTTTTTATGGATGTGAATGCCCAATTACCATTGTTACTTACTCCTTTGATGTTTATTCTTGAAAAACTACAGTTTTGCACATTCGTCCTCCAATTTGTTACGCGCCGTGTATAACCTCTCTGCTGAGGTTAAAGGATCGTATTTCGCTTTGAGGAAATTCCTTTGCCGCGCGACATTCGCTGGAAAATCTTTAATGGCTTTCAGATGTCGAAAACCTAGCAATCTTGTCGTATTTTATACGCATTAGGAGAGCAGACGCCATTACGTGCTACGGGCTGCGGGGTAATACGTGGAGCCGGGTATACATACGAAATGTACGAATCTTTTGATGTTCTATAGAATTTGGGTCGAAATGGATGGAAATGAATAAAATATCGCTCGCCCAGCGAGTGTGAGACCACTAGGAACTAAATCCGGCGAAACCCATTAACAATTAATCCTCAAAACTATTTCAGATATCGATCCGCAGCTGGATTTTCTGATCAATTGCCTTCCTAGTTTTCTGATTAATCCAAATGACTAATCCAAGTTCGATAGATTTTAATACAATTGCTTGTTTTTCTTTTCTCATGTAAATTGGATCTCTCTTGAAACAAGTGTGAGAATAATTTTAAAAAAATATGATATTCGACTATTGTGTTGCTCACAATTAGCATCGTATTGCATGAAATATGAACTGCTGCGTGAAATATTTATATTCCCTCGATATATCTATACACCTGATTCATACCTGTCGAAATATTTAAACATTTTTCAATATTTAAAGATTGGTTCTCAACGCGAATCCTTTTCGAGCATCATACACGCAATTTCAAACAGCTTGATTTTTACAAATGTCACGATAAAACTTTGCTCTTTCGAAAGAGTGAAATAGATTTTTAAGATTCATCCAACTTACGGCTATCGAAGAAGAAACTTTTCCAGAAAACGAAGAGTGTTTCAAATTGGCGGAATCAGATACTAACATATAAGATTACGATCCGGCGAATGGGGACTCGTGCTGCGCGTACCTTCTCGAGGGATGTCATCAACGGCTCGGAAAAGTCGTCCGAGTAACCCGGATAACACAGCGGATTAAATAAAAAAAAAAAGAAAACCGAACCTTGCTCGACGTTCCTTCGAATTCTGCGCTGTGATACGAACTGTGTATACCTGTTCAACATATATGTACACGCATATATGTACATATATGCGTATACATACACGTGTATACACCCCTATACATAAGAAAAGTGGGACAATGGTGCGAGAGAAGAGAGAGAAAGAGAGAGAAAGAGAGAAAACAAAAAATAGAGAGCAAGAAAGAGAGAGAAAGAGAGAAAGAGAGAGAGAGAGAGAGAGATAGATACGTAGATAGATTGAGGGATAAACAAACAGAAAAATAGAGAGAAGGATTGGGAGATAGCGAAGAAGGAAGGTTTCTTATTTGTGGACGCTTTATGTACACAGTTTTCTTACGACTATACATCAGTTTTTCTCAGGACACCAACCAGCGACTGAGAGGCTGGTCGAGTGCTCGGCCAGGCCAGCGACGTTGCTGATCTGGCACGTGTAGTTGCCGCTGTGGCTAGCGCTGACGCTATTTATCGTCAGGATGCTGGAAAACGGCGGATAGTCGCTTATCTGTATGCCGTTGCTGGTCTCGACGGTAGCGGCGGCGGCAGCGGCGGCGGCGGCGACGGTCTGGACCGACGACACCGATGTACCACCGTCGCTCGGTCTGACCTGAATCGGTTTCTCGTCCATCAACCACGTGATGTTGAACGGCTGGTCACCCTGGCTCGTCGTACACATAAGCTGTGTCCGCTGTCCCTCCATCACACCGTCTCCGAAAAAAAATGGCGAGATCCGCGGCGGAACTATAAACGTTACGTTGTGACATGATAATGGAGAGTAGTGCACCCCTTGCGGTCTTGCGCTGACGTTTTTTTTTTGCCGCGCCTTAGGCGCGCGATCATCGATCGAGAATTTGTTTTTTTTTTTGCGTCTTTTTGCGATATCGCGTATCTTGTGCATACGTACAATTGATCGCGCGTTTTGCGAAAATGGGGACACCGTATAACGCATGCAACGTTACCGTGAGGGAACCATATGTATAACAACCGCATTTCATCCTCCCTTATTTGTCGTTGGCTAATATTTTACCTGTTAACAGGTCGCGGCGCAATTCGATTAGACGACGTCTCGACGCCCCAAGTCGCAGGACGAAGTCACGCGGCTCGTGCGTATACCTTTGACGCATTGTCGCGTCGGTTTATTCTTCCAGCCGTTCGATAGCGGTGACCCGCAAGGACGCGCGTAGGAGAATCCCCTGGCGGTAACCATCGCGGAAACTCGATAAACTCCGACCTCCATTTATTCCGATCCATTCCGCCGCGTGATTTTCCGCACCTCGTGCGGGAAGGACAGGTGCGGCGCGCGACCGCGTTTCCTCGCACCGCAACCGTGCGTGGCAAGGTCCGCGCGCGGAAAATTGTGGCACGGCCATAAATATCGGGATAGTAGCGTTACGTACGTATACGTAACGCGCCCGCCGAGAGCATAACGCCGGGCGGTGTAGCTTGGGGGGAAATGAACATTTACGAGCGAGCATAACTGTTAATGTCGGCCGATGTGTCTTTATGAGGAAACCGGGCGAAGTTGGAAATAAGCTCCGACCCGCACCTCCTTTCTCGCGCATCCCTCCCTCCCTCCCTCCCCCAGGCAAAATGACGGAGGGGAACATTAATAAATTGTTTCGCGCGAATGTCGCGGTGCGTGGAAACTTGGCGACCGAGAACGCATCTGCCCCGCTTCTCCGTTCGACAATAAATTCCCACGCGAAAACGTGCGTCGCGCGCACACGGGGGGACCTCGCTGTCGCTCGAACCGCGAGATCCTGGCCTGGCGAGATGCGCCATAACGATCGCCCATCCGGCATGAGACACCTGCACACGCATTTTCCCTCCTTCGGAGATGTACGCTCCTTTCCTTTATCTTTTCCTTTGTCTCGGTTGCGTATCGCAGACTTACTTACCGAGCCCTACCCGATAGAGGAATTTCAAATGTGGATAATAAAAGATCTAAGGACGAGAGAGATCTCTGGGTGTATTGACGTCACGAAACGACGCGATCCGTTCCGTGATTCCATTTCCCAGATTACACAGATCCCCAGATTTCCATTTTTTCTCCTCGATAGAAATTTACGCATGCAGATCTACCATATTTCTTCGACGAAAATTTCAGAGAGCTCTCGCGTCGGATGCCCCTTGGATACAAATATCACTACCAGTCTTCATAATCATATCGTAACAATATATGGTAAAAACGACGTTACACAAGTATATATATGATATACCTCGAGCTTAAACACATTATCATAAAACTCTTTGCTACATTAATAAAATGATGACTTTGTCATTAAAACGCTCAAAACGTGATATCATACAACACAGTAATGAGTAACAGAGTGTATAATGCCATTCGTGGAAAAAAAACGTATAAAATATACGTCTCCTACGGGATATCGCAGAAATGTCGTTAACAGCGATTTCCGTGTGTATATATATATATATGTGTGTGGAGTACTATAGGAGAAATATAGACAAATGTAATATATTCAGTCAAAACATTACTCGTGTCTCTTGAATACCAATGCTGGACGATGCATACACCTGTGCGAATAGGAAAAACCAGTACGGTAACTTTACGGTCTCGCTGCGACATCGAGATTTCAGACTTTCGTCGAGACGAAAAATCTCTCTCGCTTCGTGCTCGTTCTCGCGTGCGAGAGCTCCTGCGCTCTTTCGCAACCTCTCGATGTCACAGTCCGTGTGTTGTGTCTAAGAAGTAGATACCATAATAAATACGTGTATACAAGCGGCTAAAAGATGTCCAACTGTTTAATATATTTTATTTGTATTTTTATGTAAAAAAAACGTGTTTTCTTCACTTATCTAAAATAAATTTGTACCTTAGAGGCAAAGAATCGTATTTCCAGTTTTTGTCAAAATGGAATTAATACATTTTTTAATATACCAGGAGCTTGAATTGTATAATGCTAAAGGATCTTACGTCTATTATTACTCGTTCCTAAGATACAATGTTAAGAAAAAGTCATATTGAACATTTTTCATAGTCCTTTAATTTTGGTCAGTGTGTTATTGGCAGTTGTACCATATATTATAAACTTAATAAATCACAAGCTACTTTTATTTTATATCTAAAAAACACACACTGAGAAAAAAAATTGTTAATCCCAAGAAATATTTAGTTCGATACGTTCAACTAAACATTTTAGTTAGTTAACTAAATATTAGTTGTTTTAATAATTTATTTCGTTTCTTTAATCAAGAATTAATTAATTCAACTAATGTTTAGTTAACTAACTAAAATGTTTAGTTGAACGTATCGGACTAAATATTTCTTGGGATTGACAAATTTTTTTTCTCAGTGCACCATTTTCTTACTTAAAAACTTTAAACCTCGTTTTTCTCTGAATTCATAATTCAACAATGGAGATACGAACCTTTACCTCTAAGGTACAGAAATATATTCTGATTCTTTTACTGTCGTTGCTTGATCTTTTTCTGATAAAAAAATCATGACGCTTGAAAGAACAAAACAAATGTAGGTTGGACAAGTATACTCCGGGCCGCTCATATAACGCTAATACGTGGGGGGAGGGGTAGCCAAAGACATTGCCAAGATTGTATATACAGTACATATAACACACATAGGTATCGATAGTGGTTGCAGGAAAACTCGATCAAAGCGTGCAGATGGGCGTGCAAAGAGAAAACTGCGTGCAGGACGAGAAAGAATGAAAGAAAGAGAGAATAACTTCAAAATCGAAAGTAATCTGAGAAAAAGCTGGCAACATGCCGAATCGGTGCTTGCGCCAATGGGACTTCATTGTATTCTTTTTTTCTTTTCCAAGTCCTTTTTCGAACACTCTGGGGTGGAATACGAATCACCGATCCGGCGCGTTGGTACAGTGTGCAGTTTTAGGATTTAGCGTGTAGCAGAAACGGTCACGTCGGGATGATCTTTCCAAATCTCGGAGAGATCGGCGATCGAAGATCATCGCGGACGAGAGCCGGAAATGCGGTCGGCGCTCAAACGGTCGACGAACAACGACGAGGCTTCTCTCTTCGCGGACGATGTAACGAACGGACGACACACGCCCCGCGAAGATCCTCTTTGCAGAATTGCATCCCCCAAAGCCGTCAGCGATTTATCCCGAGTGCCCCTTTTTTCTTCAGGTAAAACAAAATTGATTACGGTACGCATCGCGCGAGGTCGGACGCGCGCTGATTGATCGATCGTCGCGGCGCGGGGCGTCGGGGCGGAGGGCACAAACGATGGCCAGCGCGGCACCGGTGTTTCCCTACGTGCCGATCAATCAGTTACTTTCCATCGTCGTCGTACCAGCCAACGAACTGGAAAATTGCCAGTCCGGTCCTATCACGACCAACGCCTCGGCTCGCGAATCTCAATGATAACCCGCTCTCGTCGTCGACGCGATCTTATTCCGCAAGACGTGGCGCGAATCCATCCGCGTCTCTCGAGCCCCCCCTCCCTTCTTGACGTCGTTGTTGGCATCCCGATGAGCGTCGACCGGGGTGCTCCGTGTTCCGAAATACGATGCCGCGGTATTTGGCGTCGGGAGACGTCGCGGGTGCGTCTCTCGATCGTGACGCGCGACTAGAAAAGAGGCGCGGAAGGAAAGAAGAAAAGAGGAAAGATAAGAGAAAAAAAGATTGCCGCGGCGCGTGATTGTCTCGTAACTCGTAACCGGGCGCGAAGTATATATACCGATTCCGGAACACGGCCGTAGAATTACACCAACGGTGTGCGTTTACCGTTGACGTGAAGGAGTGCAGAATGAGCGACGGTTGCAGCGCCATTGGTCACGCGACAGGTGTACGTGCCATTGTGCGCGGGTGCGATCGTGCTAATGCTCAGGGCGCTGGTAAAAGCGTCGTGTATCCCGATGGTAATGCTCTTTCTCTGGGAGGACGAGGAGGACGCTTCGTCATGCCCGGGGCCGGAGGCGGTCATGGTGGCGGGGCCCCTTAGCTTGGGGCCCCCGTTAATCATCGTGTCCCGGATCCCAGGACCGGCCGGCGACCGACCGCGGCTGCCCGACGGCGCATCCTGCGACGACGGCAACGTCGTCCTGACCGTCTCAATCGGGACGTTATCTTTGAGCCACGTGAATGTCAGTGGTAGGTCGCCGGTCACGACTACGCACTGTACGCTAGTACGGTCCCCTACGTTTAAATCGCGAGCAAAACTGAAAGGCGTGATTTTAGGTGGCACTGAAAAGAACAATACAGACAAGGTGGCATTCCATCAAAGCAGTTCAGATCTAGAGAATCACGATATTGATGTTCGGGACATATCATCGTCGGGAGGGGGAGGGTGGAGGGGAAATGGGATCGCGGTCGGTGGTCGGGAGATGAGTGAAGGGATAAACGGTCGTAATCGTCGCTCTCCGCGCCGCCACCAGATGCGCCCCGTTGAGCGGAAAGCAATTTTTCAGAGCGGCGCGATCCAGCGGCGGCAACGCGGCTCGGATCGGGGGGAAGGGGGGGAGGAGGAGGTAAAGGAGTAATTCCGCGTCCGATACGGCATACGTCAGAAACCGGCACGGCAGCGGGATTCGATGCGCTGTGATGCAGCGAGATTAATCGATCTCCCCGTCGCGGCTCTCCGACTTCCGTCTTGACGGCGGAAATCAACGACTTGCGCGTGCATCAGCCAGCGAGGGAAAGCGAGAAAATACCGTCGATCTCGGGATTCGAGAGGTAATTGCAATTCTCGCGTGATTTCGACTTTACGCGCGCGACTGCATATTTCTTATATAAATACGTCACACGTGTGTTCTCCGTTACAAAATTTTGTTATCTTTATTTATAAACGACAAGCGAGTATTTTTCCGCGCAATTTGCATTGCAAATAACGCGGATCGGACAAACGTATGCGATATCGCGACGCGGGATGCTTAGGACGATTGTTTCGTTACGTCTATAGATCGACAGCGGGTTTGAGAGAAAGAACGTGTGCAATTTTAATGAAAGGCAATCGCGCCGGTGCTTTTCGACGGGATATTCAGCTTGCCGACGCAATCTCCGCGGTAAACTCTGTGTTTAGAACGGAGGAAACTTCGTGCACACGCGCGTTGTGCAAACGCGCTTAATGGAAAATTTCGGCAGATTGGCCACGGAAGTTGAAAGGAAACATTTCAACACGCTTGTTTATTAGCTGAATCAATGTTTCATCGCGCGGCAAAGCTTGACAGATCCCGCGATCACCGTTGGAATTATCGTTAAATACCTATATAATTTAATTCTATACACTGTTTCACGCATCACGGGGTATTACGAATTCAATGCGGGAACTTCCCGTTGTACGACGTTATATGGGGAAAAAAGTCGCGCGCGTTGTTCTCCTCCCTCGCGCGCACGTACGGGGGAGGCATTACGATCGAAAGACGTTTTGCGGTAATACCCCGCGTGCAACATCTGCAACGCAGTACGTCGCGTCGTCTGTCTAATGTACAATATACGTTACGTACATACGTGGCAGCTGGATTTTTATGTACATGAGTGTAACACACGAGTGTACATAAAAATACTGGTGGAATAGAACAGAGCAGTTAGGCGAGCGCGTGCAAAGGAGGAATGCTTGAGCGATGCAGTGAGGTGCTGTGCTCTCTGTGCATAGGTCATTTCCGGACACGTCTTCAGCACGCGCGGCGTATACACCCGCCACGCGTATCACGTGGGGGGTGGGGGGAAGAAACGTCGCCGGAAATCGCGCGAATTCGCTTTGACGAGGGAGCGCGCCGCGGGCGGCGACGAAGAAGAATGACGCTCCTATCCGTCAATCTCGCGCGAAATATTCGCGTCTAATTTTATTTGAAACGCAAAACGACAATTTAATTCAATCGTGTTTCAACCTGCAACTCGACCAGTGTTTTGCCGAAATGTTTCACACACATTCGATGTTATAAATATTAAACGAAAACAAACGGCTGATGAAAATTAATTTGATTTCAGCGCGATTTCCGGGGCGGGTTATGTATATATCACATTTGTATAACGTGCGTAATGCGCGCGCGTTTCGTATTGCAATAAAAAAAAAAAGAAATGTATATACATATACATATAAAATTGTTCTTCTCGAGAAAGAATCCACTCTCGATTTCGAGGAAGCCTTCGAGTCCAGGGCGAGACGGAGCTGAAAAACTGCACACAGTGCGTCGTATTTCGACACAGAAACCTAAACAGTATATCCTCCCTTTTCACATTTTATTTTCCAAATTATACGACGTAATTGCCGAGCGATATAGAAATAAATGGTCAATCAAAATCGAAAGAGAGTAACTGTGTTACACTCCGCGATCCTCCAACATAAAAAAAAAAATATTGTCAAACTATATATTTCTTCGGTAACGCGAAACTTTCCATCCTAATTTTCGCGCGGCTCGGCATTCCGGTTTCGCGAGCTGCAAACACACACGCGCGTGCGCGATCGATAAATCGATAGGATCTTCGATGCGAAAAGCACACCGTGTATTTCGATGGACGATGATGTGCAATGCGATAAACCGAAGTCTCGGGGCCGATGTTGTCCCGCGCTAATTAATCCTGCCCAACGTCAAACAACGCGCATAGAGTTTGCTTGATGAACCTAATAGAAACATTATGTAAAGATAAATTCGGCAACGCGCGCGTCAAACGTTGCATGCCGCGCGTGTTATGCATAAACGGGCTACAATTAATACACACAGTCGGATGGGGCGCGACGCGCGGGCAATGGATGCTTAATACGTTCGACAAAGGGAGAATGCATATTAACGTGCGCCAGTATAATATCCATAATTGCGTCTCGACATCGCGGGGGCAAATTGCAAAAACGACACAGATTATGAGAGCGAAACTTTTTGAGCTGAATCTTCATTGAGAGCTTACGCGTGAGGTTTTTCGCCGTCGATCCTAATTTCAGAAAAACTGTACAGCTTGATAAAAATAGGCATTATACATTTTACGTGTACGTCATCGGGCAATGAAATTATCGTATATTGTATATAAAAATTGCGTTAATTAAATATAGAGGATTGTATCGCAATTAAAAGTACGGTCATAAAAAATTATTATCTCAATAACGAGAGTGCGAAATACCTTTTTTTTTCCCTCTTTGGAAAGCAAAGAGACCATATCGTTTCATTTCGCAAGCGCGCGGGCGCGGGCGCGCGCGTGAAGCGATCTCTTCATTTTCGAATGCTAATTTTACGAACGCTTTAAATTCCGGTGCTCAATATCGCGGGGGAAATTATGCGGAAACTATTGGCTACGTTTACTTACCTAGAACACGTACTTCGACCGAGCGATGCGACGTGAAATTATGTTTGTTTCTGGCAGTGCATGTATACGTGCCTTCGTCGGCGCTGCGTTGCACGGTATCGATGAACAGCGTGCCGTTGGCGACTCGTTGTCTCATGTTGGTAGGCAGTTTTACGTCCCCTGATAACAACGTTATTTCGGCATCGATTAAAGGGGCACGCTCGCGTTCGAGAATATTTGGGATACTTGATAATAATATTTGCAAATATTTCGCATTTTCCGGCGCGCGATCCTTAGTCGCATAAATTAATTTTGCAAATGTAAAATACGAAGATAAATCCGATGAAATTCGCCGATAAATTGCAATAGCACGCCTGTTACGAAAAGGATTATCAATCGATGCGAAGGATCGACAGCAGATTTTAACGTGCCTTTCGCCGCAATGGAAATATTGAATAAACGTACGTGGAAGCTCCCCGTTATTCGGTCGGGGGGGATTAACAGAAATGACGCACGATGCTTACCTTTCTCCCACACTATCGATTCGATGGGATAACCGGCTACAGGACACTTGATATATAGTTGCTTCCCCGCGACCGCTGAAACGGGCGACATCGGTCTGACGTATGGCAGTCCTGAGATTAGAAAGCAGTAAAGCTCGTTACGCTGCAGCCACGCGAAACAGCATGAAGTTATAAATTTCCAGCAGGAAATCTAGTCCCGCTCTTTCTCTCTCGATTTCAGGGAAACGAAGTCGCGTAGAAAATAAAAAAAAAAACATATATAGAACAAATTTTTAATATGTCGTGCAAGAGAATGACTATTTTGATCCCTTTGGATTTGCCGAAAACTCCGAATTTGATATTCAATCTGATACGCAGGGATGAAGCAACGTTTTCGTTCGAGATAAATAATTAATTAAATATCGAAACGTCATAACGATTATAATTAACCGGGTGGACCGAGTAAAAATCATTATTGTTAATTAACGCCGTGTCCGCGACCGTATCGAAATCGTAATCGTACGGCTCCCGCGGTATTTCTAATTACGGCCGGAAAAACCGTATCCCCCCGACTGCGCGCTGACTTTTGACTTTCGCGCTGACTCACCGTAGATATTGAGCCTCGCCGAGTGCCTCGCCTCGCCGGCACGGCTGCTGGCGATGCACTCGTACTCGCCACCGTCTTCGGGCTTCACCGTCGTGATATTAACGTGGGATATTACGTCCCCGTACACGGTCACGTATTGGCCAATCAGGAGTCTGTCGTTTTGTGGAAGCGGAAATCCATCTAGCAGCCAGGAAATTTGCGGCGTGGGATTACCCGCGGCGCTGCATTTCAGAGAAACCGATGGACCGGGCTGCATTGTCTGTTCGATGAATCTGTAGACCAGCTGCGGCGCGATCTCTGTTAACAGACGTTACAAGGGGGATGAGATTACGCGTACCACCCCCCAAAGTTTCCAAATGCTGCCCCTTTGTCCTCGGGGCCCCCGCCCCCGCCCCCGCCGCCGCCGCCTCCTTTCCCCGTGTCTAACGCCCCGCGCTGTATAGCCGCGTCCATATATTTCCGTGCTTTTTTTGCCCCTCTTTTTTATTCGTACGTCCAAATCGATTGTCCAACGTGAAAGCGAACCATCACGAATTTAAGTTCGCGACCTGACGATATCTCTCGTCGGCTATCGTAAAAGCCATTTAAAAATAATCCAAATAAAAAACTATGCCAATTGTCGTCGCAATATCGCGTCGATTCCGCGGAGATCTACAAATCGTCTAAATAAAGACGAAAAGCCACGTGACTAGTGAACGATGCCTTATCAATAATATCGAAAGCGCAATACCGTTAAACGATTAGTTCGTGACAATGATAAAAATTGTATTATGACAGATTGCGAGGTCCGGTATGTGAACAAAATAAATAGATAAAGCGCCGTTTTTAGCGGCACACGCGCCCCGCTAAAAGTTTCGTCGGTTTTCCAAAATGACGCGATGATAAATTCGTAAACTTCGCGCGGATATAATACCGGGCGTGAGATAACGTCAACTTTACCGAAGTTTTCGTATTCATCCGCAAAGAGAATCCCTTCATCGCCGTCGGCGTTATTGATATCGATATCGATGAATATTTATGATAAGAACGATATTTCTGTGCACATGCGCTTCTTTGCAACGGGAATGCCAACAAAACGAGAGTCGCGTATAATTTGCGCAAGGAGATGCAATATTCTTTCCCCCCCCCCTTTGTTCATATCCTCATCCTCATTATAATTTCTATCGGAGAAACGTGCGAAAAAAAGTCGCGCGGATTTATTTAGCGCGGATTAACTCGATATAGTTAAAAGTTGAAAACTCGCCGGAGCAAATATCAGGCTCGCAGTTTGCCTGTGTATAATTAAAAGACTGCGCGGGGGAGCGCCATTAGTAAATTAACAATTAGGCCGACTGATTATTCCGTCTCGCTGTGCCGGCTTTCTTGGCGCGCGCGCAGAAGAAAAAAAAATCTTACGTTCCGCAAAAACTGTAAATTAATGTTTAAGATCGCGGCACGCTTTAACGCGCGAATATCATGATATACGTTATTGCGGCAAAAATCTCTCTCATTGCATAAACAAAGACTGAATAAAACCTCGACGGCATTAAAGCACAATTTTACTCTACGTATATCTGTAAGAGTTACAAGCAAGAAGAAACATCAATCGCATTTTCCATTATTTCAATAAACGATTAAATAGCATATTACTGCACATCGGGTACAATTTTGCGAATAATGTATCTCTGGGATTTTTTCTCCGCATATAATGGAGTTCTTGTTACGCTCTCTGTATAATCTCCGAAATAATATGATGTTAAAAAAGGGATGTTTTTCCGAGACGCATAATTATGAAGATTAATATGTTTTACTTGCGCTCTAATTAATATTAGTTGGCACCGCGCCGCTGCTTGTTTTCTCTAAATTTCAGGAAATGTTACCGTGCCGAAACCCGGAAAACGGTTACGCGCTCGTTGGCAACGAAACTTTCGGCAGTGTACGCGCAACGAAATCGTACCTCACATTGAAGTTTATGCGAAATGCCAATGAGCATTTTGAAGGAACGACACGATAAAGCGTGATTTGCATGAGCGATATATTCTTCCGAGGCACTGCCTCGCGTTTCCCCAAGTGCGGGCTCGGCAAAGTAAATCTCGTCCGGCGCGGCACGGGAGAGAACGCCATTAAAATCGTAACAGACAAGATATCACGTTCGCATAATTCCACCCGGGGGCAGGAACCGCCGCGCCGCGCCGGTAAAATTCGCAAATTCGCCGAGATGTTCCCGCGCGGAACCTGGGTTTTCATCCCCCGGACGTATCTATGACGCATAATAAATAGACGTAGTCGGTCGCGTCGCTTCGCGAAATCGCGCGCGGCTAGCATGCAAAGCATCGGCAAAACCGCAGAAATCTCGTTAGCGTATGCAAATCCGAAGGGGGTAGTGGTAGTAGGTACTAACTATCCTATCGTGCTGCGGGCGATCCCGACCTAATGTACACTCTATACCTCTACAGCTTAGAAATCATGGAGACGGGAAGAATCCTAATGACAAGGTAATAGGCGCCCGGCTCCGAACTTGGACGACGTAAATTACTAATTTTCTATCCGGCGTCGCTCGTAACTGGGACGACGGGCTTCGTTACTACGGATAGCGCGATTACGTGACATTTTGCTGATGTAATGCAGACGTTAGCGCACAACTATTCCTCGCGACGATTAAGTATTTCTCCGCCACGTTAAAAAGAGAGATTTCCTGGTGGGTGTGCCGCACTGCGTTAATTTTTGACGATAGATCAACCATCTTTTCTGAACTAATTAGTAAATAAGGTTTATTGAATGTCGATACATATATATATAAATTATCTCGTACTGAATTTCCGGTCAGTTTCGATTTAACGTGTCTGAAAACTTAGATCTAATAGAATACTACTTTATTGGACGCTTTTTTTGGTCCGAAGTGAGAAATTCAGTGGTAAAATTACTCGAGAGCTAAGAGAAAACTAAGGGATAAGAGGGCAGGAGGAAAGTAGTAATTTAGCTCGCGCGTGATATCTGAACTCGGATTACGACGGAGGAAGAAACAAACTGTATACACGGCGCGTCCGGAGATCGGTACGCTTGTTTCCGACGAGAGAACGAGGCAGCCGAGCGCAAGGCTATAAGCGATTTTGAAAGAAAATTTAAACTTTCAAAGGTCATAAAAGTTACCAAATGTCGGCCGTATAAAGGTTAATGGCCGCGAAAGCCCGTACGAACTTCCCCAGAAATGTACAAATCGCTCGTAAGAACGGCACGAAACTCAGCACGCTTTCCCTTGCCAGCGGCAATATTCTCGCGAAATGAAAATGGCATAAAATAAAAACTTAAAAGCTGGGAAGAGCCCAGCGTTGGAGTTATATTTCGAAATCTAATTGAAAATAACACTGTTTACCGATACAAATGCAAAATACGTTGTTAAACATTTAATTAACAACAGTAGCCTCTACGTAATTATTAATGTAATGTAATTTCATACAACAGCAATTAACACGTAATTTAGATATTAATAATAAGCGTAAATTTAGATGCGCCACGTCCAAATTACGCTTCGGTCTTTTTTCACGAAAAATTCCAGGGGAAATATATATATTGCAGAGTTATTTTTTATACATGAAACACACCGCGCTCTAAGTTACTGGATGTGTTCCGCGTGTCATATGTTACCCCATGTGATCCGTTCGATGCTTGGTCGCGACGTTATCGGCGAAAACTATGGTAAATCGCTTTTATTATATTCCCGGGGCAAATTCGCGAGTCGTGCGGTTGTCCATCGGACATTGATGCGCCCGACGGTGGAGGTCTCATATCGGGCGGGTTTGCGAACGGGGGAGAGAGCTAGAGAGCAAACGAGGCCATTTTCGTACAAAAATGGCACGTATCCCGCGGCGAAACGACCGGCCGATGGAAAATACGTTATACGAAGGGAACGCGCTGCGCAAACAGGCAGCGGCGGCGTTTCCCTCCTCCGCACATGTTCCGCGAGTTCCGCAGCCGTTAACCAACATTTTCAAACCGCGGGCAAACCAAGTTTCTGATTAAGTTCGCCAAACACGCGATCGCTCGTTCGAATTCTCTTTTTTTTTCCTCCGTAATAAATGCACGAGCGAGAGATTGTTAAATGCATGCGTTTCTATCCGCTATTAAGCAACGATTCTCGATTGCGCGATGGCGATAGCGAAGGTCGACCTAATTTATCGCTGAATATTCCTATTTAATATAGATTTACTACTGAGGTTATAACTGATTTACCGCTGAGGATGGCTCGAAGAAGAGCCGAAACGTCCGGAAACTTGTAATATGCAAATACATCCGTCTTTTGACATTACGCACTAATTATACCGCGTCGACTCTTTTATTGCCAATTTCTTTTATGTTTCTTATTATTATTAAGAGGTCCTTAATTATTTTATTAAAATATAGATTTACAACTTACATAATTCTAAAATAAAGTAAGAATCAGGGTTCTGACTAGATTAGGTAATAAGAAACAATTGTTGAAGTTAGATAATGCGATTTGGCGATTTTGCTGTTGCTGCTGCTGCTGCTGCAAACGAAACCCAACCGGAGTTAATCGAAACCGAGACCGCGATTATCGTTCCACAGATGGGAGCACGCTCCGTAAAGCACAATCGGAAGAGCGATGAGGGCACTTTCCCGCAAAAATGGCACGTAGCCTGCAGGGAAGTCGTGGCCGCCTCCCGATGGAGAATGCGTTACGATAAAATGGCACGCGAGCCATGGAATGGAATGTATGAGTTCTACCAACCGATATTAACCAACAGTGAAACATTCGCCGGACGTTTGACAAACAAGGGGGCCTTCTTTCACCCGAATCGAATAATTGTAGCGTTATAAAATATAAATGCTTGCTGTAATTAAATATACTATGTACAAAATGTGTTATCGAAATAAAAATACTCGCGATTCACTGAGGGGATAAATAATTAAAAATCGTTGAAAATGCCTCGACCATTCTAACGGTAATTGTACACTTTTTGAAATTCGAATTGATTTGCTACCTAAATTTTGGTGTACAATTCAGTCATAAAATGGAAATGTTAATTAATATTTAGTTCGATACCGAGACAGTTCCTCTCGTGATAATTCCAAGATTTTCGAGTTTCCGAGTGATGGCACGACGACTATGGGACTTGGCTTTCCAAACGATAAGGCGTCGCGACGTATATACTATTGTACATCCGGAACGCGAAGTCCAGAATGTCTTACCCCCTAAGCGCAATTCCGCAATTCCTTGAGCCATTTCGTACTCGTTCCGCACGAAGCACTGGTACATGCCGCGGTCCTCCCTCGCGACCGACGTCACGGAAATGCGCTCGCTGGAGACCGTCCTTACTCGGGCGCCCGTTCTCAATGGCTGACCGTCCTTCAGCCAATAGAGTGCCGCTTGCGGAAATCCACTTGCGGTGCACGTCTGCAAAGGAGTTTAGACGGAAGAAACTGATGAGAATCAAGAAAGGGGGACTCGGCGCGCTTGCTCGCGCGCACGCGGAAAAACGAGGAAGAATGCCGTCTCGTCTCGAATCCGCAAAGGCGTGGAGCTTCTTGAGAAAAATCAGATCTCTATATTCCTGAAAATGTATTCGAATCACACACCCCCGGCACCACGACCGGCATTAATTTCCGGCACGTACAGATTCATTTCCCGCGTCATCGACAGCGCTTTACGGTATTTACAGACGACTGAAAACGCCGCGGTAAATATTCATATAACAGTAATCGAAGTGCTCGATATTTGTAAGCGATCTGTCGCCTGTTTTTTGCATCCTTAAACTTAGAATGTGTAAAGACTTCAGACGTTCTGTTATTGATCTATCTATAATAGGAGAGACAGTTGAAGAATCAGACTATAAGGATATATAATAAATGTATTGAAATGCACGGCATAAAAATTGTATATGGAATTCTATCTTGAAATCTGACGCAAATCACAGATTGTCTAAAGTGGCCTTCAAAATAACGTTTTCGAGTATAGATATATCTGTATCTTAGAGATAAAGAATCGTATTTCTATTATTATTTAGAGAAAATACGGTTTAAAGTTTTAAAGAGAGAAATGGTTAATTTTTTTAGATATAAAATGCAGCAGCTTGAAAAATATTGAGTTTTTAATAAAGTAATTTCAACTGCCAATAACGCGCTGTAGCTGGTTTAAAAATTTAGCCACTATAAAAATTTTTAATAAACGTTTTCTTCTAAACGTTGTACCTTACGAACTAGTAAAAATAGACATTTAGGACGCTTTATCATTAGGTATACAATTTAAGCTCCTGTCATATTGAAAAATGTATTAACTTCATTTTGACAAAAAGTGGAGATACGATTTTCTAGCTCTAAGGTACAGATATATATATTCGGGGCTCTACAGTATTAATTTATCTTTTTCGCTCTTCGCGGTGTTAGATTTCTCGAAATATTATTTTTCCGTTTACCCTGTCCAACTTGTCCCTACGTGATTATACGTGTCGGGGGGTTGACAGGCTCTTTATTTATTTCCAAATAAATCGGTGTCGATAATGATTGATTACCAGATAGGCGGATTTCCCCAGATCGACCGTCTGTATCGTTGGCTGTACGTGAACGCTCAACGGTGCAGACACCGTTAATCTGATCTCCAAAGTTTCGCTGCCTTCGGAATTGCTGGCGGTGCACATGTAGGAGCCGGCGTCGTTCTCCGCGACGCTCTGGATGATCAAGGAGCCGTCACGCACCACGTAATGGCCCGACGACTCCTCGATCGGTTCCTCCCTCTGATTCCTGTTGTAGTACCATCTGCGCGAGAGAAAACAGAAACAGGGGATTCTCCGTATACATATATATATATATAGTTATATTTCGATTTCGAATCCAATTCCAAGGACCCCGTCATTATCGGACGGCCGCGCCGCCCCGCAGTGAAAGCATCGACGATGTAGGCAGACATTCGCAGAAACTCTGCATTTGCATCGTGTTCCGCGGCTCACGTGTACGCGTTCTCAACAGAATGCGTATGCAAATTACCATTTCCCGCGCTCGTCAAAGCGACGATGTTATTATTGTAGTTACCTAACCGACGAGATCTCGAAAACGTTGCGTTACACGTTCATATATGTATAATACGTACGTACGTACGTACGTATAATATCGTACGCGCGCGTTGCCTGTCCGAAACCGTATCTCGCCGCCGCACACGCTTACCACAAAATAACTATTGTTTCATCGGGAAAGACCGAATGCATTTCCCCGCTATTGTACGTCCATATATATCGCGCGCGGCTATATTCCCGTATTTCTGCTTGTGTATACACGTGTGTTGTACGACGCGACGAGATACGCCCTGGCACGCATTCAAAACGTTCACTTTCCAAAGAACATGTATTTTAATGATATTCGGTCGCCGCCGATTTATTCAGACTATTCAGACGATCGCGCGTCGCGTTAAAGCAACAGCGCAAAGTTTTTTTCTTTTTCTTTTTACGAATCGACCGATCTGAATTCAAACGCCTTTGTCTCTCGCTTTTCGGGATAACGCAAGGATTTCCGGCCGAGGCGCGCGCTGTAACGCTGCTATTGCATAACTATACGCGAGTATATAGCGCAACGGCTCCGTCGTTGCGGATCGATCCTCCGCGAATTTCACGAAACGAGATCACGCATAACTTCGCCGGCTCTCGGTGTTCGTCTTAATTGAAAATTCGAAGTGCCCGGCTGTCTTGATTTAAGCCAGCCTCGGCAAACAAGATAATCCAAAATCGATCCTTGGCGAGCACGCGCGACCTTTGACCTTATCGGTGGTCAGTACGACGCGAAATGCGCACCGACGTCCGCGCAAGAACGTGTCGATCCGGACGAAATAGTCTACTTTTTTACGATTAATTACGCGGCATTAAGCGATATTGAAGAGATTCCTTATTTGCACATTATGTATAGTATGTATATATACCATTGAGTTTAATACGCGCGAGAGATGGATTTTATATATTGGCTAAGCTCACGCGCTCCGACGAAAGTATATAAAATCTTGACGGGGACATTTTTTCCGCCCTATTATCTTATCAATCCCGTCGATACGATGTCAGTGCCGCAACGAAGTCACTAATGAAAATTTCAAGCTGCCGCCATTTTTGCGATCTGAATCTGCTCGCGTCGACCATTTAACGAACTTGCATATGTATTTGTATAACCAGATTGACATGAATTTTTAATATAACGCGAATATGTTTCAAACATATGCGCTCCGCGCTCTAATTAAATGAGTTAAAAATACGTTGTTTCTTTAATAATGTAAAAACTTGCTTTTAAATATTACATAAAAATGAAATTCAAATTCGAATAAATATTCTAATTAAATTTGGTGTATTTCAATTAAACAAGTTGAAAGATATAAAGGATATAAACGTCGCTCTTTAACGATATAAAGTCTTCACCTGGAAACGATTAACATGTATAACCTCATTTTTTAATGTGTCAAATAAATTAGCCTAATTAAATTAGATTATACCCCGTTATCGAATACCGTTATCCGAATACCGCCAATATCCAAATCGATCCCAATTCGAGATCCCTTATCGCCCTTTGGGAAGTTTATCGAGACCGAATGGAGCCAGTTCATCTTTCCGCGATTGCTCGTAACGCGCCATTAGCTCCGGCCTCGTCCCTCCAGCGCGCGCAAAATAACTCCTCTTGATTTAGCCTCTTCCTTTCTCTCCTTCTCTCTCGCTTTTACACGATGATCGGCCCCACGTGGTTTAGAAATTCGCTAAAGCGTAGTGTCCCGGGTCTTGCTTACTCCGCATCCGGGAGAGAACATGGAAGGCCAACGACGACGAGGACGAGGATGATGACGGTGAGGAAGAGGCCGAAGAGGATGGGGGCAGAGATGGCGGCCGCGTTGGCAGCGAGGCAGAAGTGGAGCCACAGGGATGAGGAGTATACCTATAGATAATCGAATTTACGAAGGGAAATTGGCGAGGGTAGGAGATGGGATACGGAGATGCTCGAGTGCGAGGGAACCCGGAGAGATGGAAGCCGCCGCGTCGCGACGAACCCTCAAACTCTCTTCCTCTCTCTGTCTTCGTCTTCTCCATCCTCTTGTCTTCTCCACCTGTTTAGCTTTCTCCTCTTCTTCTCTATCTCTCTCTCTCTTCCTTTCGTTCCATCTTCCTCTTTCCCATTCTATATCCCTTATCCCCATCTTCAGCTTCTCTAGCTTTCCTCCTCCCCCCCTCTCCGGCTCTCTTCCGTCGACTAAATCAACCTGCGGAAGAGACGACTAGAAGAGGAGGAGGAGAAGAGAGCCGACGTGGAAGAAGAGGGCGGTCGGAGAAGGACCGGAGAAGGCAGGGTGAGGGGGAAGCGAGCGGTTGATGAACACAAGCATGGAATACTCAGTGACGTCGACGTATACGTAAATGCGGAATATTTGATGGGCTGTCAGAAGCAGTCTCTGTAATCAGCGGTCGGTTTGTTTGCGCTACCCATACAGCCCTCCCGACGTCTATATATCTTCTGACTATCTTCGTTCATCCCCCCCGGCTACTATCGTCGCGCGCTCGCGTAGATTGGCGGCTCTATACGCGGCTCGCACGCGCGCGCGTGTGTATACACACACGCACGCGTGTACACACCAACCTGAATCGCGTCGCTCTATCCGCGTCGATTCTACAAATTTTCACGATCAAAGTTCCGTCGATATGTTCTGCCGGCGACGTTTGAAATTTTCATTTTACATTTTCGGCGCGCGAGAGATCGAGTGAGAGAGAGAAAGAGAGAAAGAGATATAGATAGGCGGAGGGATTTCCCTGTAAAATCTATAAGCGAGAGGATGAAGCGAAATGGGAAATCCGAGGCAGCGCTAGCTCTCGCGAGCATGATTCTTAAGCGTCTCTCGCCTGTTTCTCGTCTGTTCGCTCGTAATTATTTAAACGCGTCTCGCCGCGCGACACGGCGATAACCGTGTGTTTCCCCATTCGATGCGAGTTTGATTATACCGCGCTGATCCTCTGCAACGGTGCTCGCGGCATCAATGATGGGACCAAACTAGTTGCTAATCGCGTAATCCGCCGTAATAACACGCTCCCCCCACCACGCAACAAGTTTCGTAGAGCCTCTCGTCGCTTCCCCGGTGGTGTTGCGTCGATGTTAGTCGCGGTCCTGACGAACGCGCTTGCCTCTATCCCGTCCGCCGTTTCTCCTCTCGTACCTCTCGTGGGATAAATGTAATATATCCGCGAGCGGGTACGCGCGGGAGAAGGAGATGGTATCTCTCGCGAGAGTTAACGTAATATTTAATACTCAGAGCGCGCGGAGAAGAAGAAAATCCCCCGCCTCCGGTTCCGTAACTGTTTTCTCGTTCACCTCGATTCACCTTCTCGCCCCGAGTCCGGCCTTCCATAGGAAGTCCGCGATGTCGATGAACTCCGCGTGGGCGTTTCTGCGCGCGTGGAGCTCATATCGCGCGAAATATTCCGTCCGCGGATCTATGTTTAAAATTAGCATTAATATAAGGAAAATAGAGACACGCGCGCGCGTCTAGTAGCGAATGAGCACCGTGGCTCGCGTGCTCCGTCTGTTTGCACAAAGATTCCAATTTCCTCATCACCCGGCTGTCGGGCACGACAACGCGAAAGCGTATAGCGCAAAACACCGTTAAACGCGTTTGACTTTCTGTTACACGTATTATTTTAGATAATGAGTTTTATCCTTATCTCGACCGTCGAACAGTTCGATTCTATATGGTAACAATGGTAAAAGCTCTTTATATAAATTTTCATCCGATTAACTACATTTTCCTGCCTTCTTTAATTCCTCTTCGAACGGCATTAACGATACTTCTCACAGAGAAGTTATACCACGCGTTTTCTGCCTAAATAGAGTCAATGAAGAATGAACTTGGATTCTTTTGGCACGTAAACTTTGGACTTTACTCTCGCTCATGGTCGGTTTTAAACTTCATATATCCTTGCGAAACCGGAAGCGCGATTAAATCCGGTCTATGTGTCTCGACAGTTTCGCCCTAATATCGGCTCGTCAATATTTATCGTGTACGTCACCGGTCGCTCTTCATTATTAACTGCCATTCACATCGGGCTGTCGCGCTATATATGGATTTCATGACCGCTATCTCGCATCTCGCGACGTGTGTGACGTTCGCGAAGCGAACCCTGTTAATCTTCAAGCATCGCCTTTAATTCGCGCGCGCAGTGTACCGTATACTTTGTATGCAGATTACTTAACATCATCGCCGGAGTACGGTACAGAGGGTAAACGCCTGCTTACCGTTTAATTGCGTGTCTGAGCGTAACGCAAGCGTGCCCCTCTTCCGTCCCCCTCTTCCCGAGGAAGGGGGATAAGAAAGGAGGAGCGAGATGCGCGAGGAGGTCGGCGAGAAAAATGCGATTTAAAATCTAATTATGGGCGGAATTGATAGCCCGGATGAACTTTCTGTACGCTACCCGGAGATCCGGTACGCGGTACATACGCATATACGCGAAAGACCCGTCCGTCCCACTATACATATACGCTGTATATAACGCTTCGTTAATAATATAAATTTAATTTAATTGAGAATTACACGTAATTTATTGATCTATATATTAATATATATAAACGATATTAAATCTATAAAATTAATAATTTAATAATCTACAGTAATGTTAATAAGTACGACTGAATTATGTCAAAGGGGGAAAAAAAACCTTACCTGTTAGTCGGGGTGGGGTTGGCGTAGGCCACACAGGGGATCACGACGGTGTCTTTCAGGCGAGCCGACATGTACACCAGCTTCTCATTTATTATAGGCGGCATGGAGCCTCGAATTTCTGGAAATAGAAACAAGCGCCGGGCGCGTATAGATTCAATTATAGCGTAAAATCGAAGATTAAATCGCGGGACGCTATATTGGGTATCCGCCGCTGCTCGTATACAGGGGGGGATCGATTCCGGCCAAGTTTGCCGTGTGATACGCGGAAAATATGTTCATAAATCGTTACTGTCCGCGGGGAGGGAAGGAAGCGCGGGACCTCGGACGGCGAGAAATGGGTGGGACACGGAGGAAGCGAAAGGGAAGGAAAAAAAAATGCAGGACTCCGCGCGCACGCATCCAGCGTGACGTTTAATGGGAAGTTATGGTCGCAGATAACGCCACGTCTTACGACACGGCGCGCACTATGAAGCGGAACCACGTTAGATAACGACGATATATCTCCGTGCTTTGGCGAGAATTTGAAATTACGTCACGCGCTATCAAAAACGTCGGGAAAAGTTAACGTTCCGTTCGGACGCCAACGTCCAGCGAATTCCTACGACGAGACTTGCTCGCGTCGCGCATTAACGAAATTTCGTGACAATTTTTCTCCTTTTTCGAAAAACCACATCAGTCTGCGCTGAGGTATATTAAAACGGTAAAAAAAAAAAAATTCGTATGCAACATATGTACACGAATATGCGATTGCCTTTATATTCGAAATGAAATCACAAAAGTAACGTGAGTAATTTAAAAAAATTAATAAAAATTAAATCGCGTTCGTTAATTAAGTTTTTGCATACGATTACAAAATTTCACGCTGCCAAAACTGTACTGCCGCAATAAATCGCTCGCGTTCCTAATTCGCGCCCGGCATACTTTCGACTGCAGTAATTTCGCCTCGCTCGAAATTTCGAATTTTCTTACACGGGATGAAAATTCATAATTAATTAAACGTACCCGTATCGGTGGTTACGCGCGTTCGCGGCGAAAATGAAGACACACACCGCCGGTTAATGACACATCAAATGCGCCAACGCAACGGCCCCGCGCGTTACAGTTATTCCATCTGTCCAATTATACGAATGTAGGTATTTTTATTTCGCGTGGCCATGTTAAAATCGAGCCACTCAATCTACCCCCGGCGCATATCTGCGGTAGAAATGCAGCGTGGTTTATTGATTCGTCCATAGATACTCAAGTGCCCTTCTCTCTTCGGCACGTGTGTTATTTCGTGATCAAATGATGTGTGGACAACGTCGCACATACGTGCTGTTACATTTAACGCGGAATTAATGCGCTGGATTACGCGATGGCGAATACTCGCCGGGAGCGTTCATACATACCTACCTCTTGTACGTCGCGACAAAAACATCTATCGTTTGCGTGGGATATACGTTTGCACGATAAACGCGTGCGCCGGCCCCGCGCTTAATTTCACAATACGATTAAAATTAATAGCAAACGTCAATGCGAATAATAACAATTCGTGTCAGTGCTAATTAATTAATAATATTATACTTATCATTTCAGTGTAATTCCGAAAAAATGACGGTTTTTTAATTCGCAAAATAGAATTTACCGATCTAAACGATTATGTAAGATGCAGATCTCTAGAAAAAAAATGAAAACTCGAGCATTCAAAATTGAACAGAAATACAAATTCTACTCCGACATCAAAAAATTGTGAGATTCGACGACATATCTTCGTAAGAGTACACGTTCATGAAAAATTCAAGCAACGAAATCTGTAATTAATCGAACAGACGTAACGTCGGCTCCGCGACACTGCTCATATATCGCCGAACAGTATATACCGGAATCGTTTCACAATTCGTGCGTTATTACGTCTCTCGAAATTGCGCGATAAACGTTAACTTTATACCGCCGGTTCTAAATTTTCGGCGGGACTCCTGCTGGGATTTACACGCTCGCGGATAATGCGCCGAAAAGTTTCCTCATTACTCCGGGAAAACTACTGTACATCGAGATTTTGGTTAATTTAGAGGGGAATATACCGACGCGGTCCGAAGGCGCGCGCGTCGAAATATGCAAACGATCAAATTTCTCCCGAACTTCATTATTAAGTTATTAACTACCTAAGTGCGCTTAGCATAAATTTCTATCTTACGGCGGAAGATATCCGGCGAGAGGGCGCGACGCCGGGGCCCGGGGCCGGCGGCGCCGGCGCGCATACCGGCTTTATTACGAGTGCACGAGCGCGAACGCGTACGTTTCTGGAAAATTGAAACCCGTGAATTTTTTAACGTCCGCCGAGATATTCTTGCCCAGGCACGTCGGATCGGTTTTTCTTGCCTGATTATGCGGCGGCACACAAACGTCTATCCCTTCCCCCGCCCGCGCACCTCACCCTCCCCGGTTTTACCTCATCTCAAGGATAACATCGAATTATGAAACGCCGTTCGATTGTCATTACGATGATACGTTGCAATTTAAATTGTGTCATTATTATTATTGTGCGATATCATATTATTTCATGAATAATTATATTGATGTGACGGTAATTGTCATTACAATTGATATTATTTTGTTTGCGCCGCAAAACTCGGAAATGTCGCAGAGACCTGGAGGAATTAATCGTTGATGTAATATTTTTTTAGGTCAATTCTGCTTTGTTTCCCTCCTACGCGCGACTCGCTTTCGAACAAATATTTATCCCGCCTGTGTATTGCTGCTAGGCTTTCACAGCGAATATCGTTTATTCGGGCAACCCGTCGAATGATACATGAGGTAATTAACCCATGAGCGAATTACGGCGATAATTAATTGATGTTTGTCAGAAATATTTGTGTGATTAGAAATATACCAAAGCGGCGGCGGTGCTAATTATATGGATTTCAAACATGTCGTATCTGGTTAAATCGTGTCATATTGCCCGAGCTAATTTCCGATCGGCAAACTCTTTCAACAAAAACATAGTTTATTTAATCGCGGTATGATGAAGCTTGCCGAAATTTGCAATAATCGTATTAATTAATTAATCGACGTTGTTATTCCGAGCGCGTCCTCATCGAGGCGATTTCACGAATACAGCATGGAAGACTTTTGCTGCGAAGAAGAGCAGAAAGTAAGCGGACGCATAAAATCACGGCGGCTTTATGTTCGAACCTGGCGGAGAAACTTTAAATAAGTCGCACGTCCCTCGAAAAATTTGCGATATCACGAGAGGTTCTCCTAGTTTTAAAGTTTCCGAACACACACACACACACATACGTGCACTATGTCTCTCTATCTCTACCTGTCTCCCATTTCCTTCTCCACTTGTAGTTTCGAAAATCTAGAATCGCCTAGGAAGACGGCGAGTAGACTTCACAATGAGGATAGGATACCCCGGTAAAAGAGCACGATCAATATTCCATCATAAACATTATTTCAATTTTTCCGCGTGGTACACGAGACATATCAAATTCAATCGCGTACATTAAATAAGAACAATAGACAGATAATGTATTTGTAATAATCCCGAAGAGAACGCCAACGGTTACCAGATCGCTTACAAGGCGATGGTATCGCGAAGGTAATGGAAAGGTAAGGTATATAAAGCGCACAATAGTTTGCCTTTCCCCTTGCGTTCGTGCGGATGCGATGCGATTAAAGTTCCTCTTAATTTCGAACGCGATGTGACATCCTACGGAGAAGAGAAACGTCATTAGCGGGACCGCTCGGGGGGGGGGGGGAGAGGGGGAAGAACTGCCTGCGATCGCGTCTTATCTCGCCCTCTCTCGCCCTCATTTATTCAGCTTCTCCCGTAATTTACGCAACGCCATACTGTCATCGTTTCTTTAACAGTTATCTAATTAAACATCGACCGCGCCGCTGTCGAAGAAGTCGCTCGGATGAGGCTCCCCGGGCTCCCATGCCGTTAAACGCACTGTTTTTATCTTCTTTTATCCCCGGCGACCATCCAGCTATCGCGAGATAAGATCCGAGTTAATGTGCTCGACACGATAGGGGAACAAATTGCGAGAGCGTAAAAAACGAGAACGGACGCTTCCTGGAATTAATTATCTACTCTATTTGATGATGCCTTGATTCTTGACGATCCCTTTTGATCGGACATTAATTAAACTGGCGACTCACGTCGGCCGGTATATTTATATACACACGTGACAGAAATAAATATTCGTGTATAATCGTGCGTTTGGTCGCCGAGAGCGCATCAAAACTTTACTTTTATTAAAAATTTCAATAACGCAGATGTATCGAGTTCTCGATTTGTGGGACAAATTTTCTCTTTTCACCGCTCTCCTTTGGTTGCTTTCATTCCAAATGAAAAAAATGGGAAATATAATTGCCGCGGTATCGATCGAATCGGGTGCAGGTAAAGTAAACATTTAATTAAACTCCGCCATACGTCCGCTATACGTTCAGCTCGAGGCGGAACGGGAATTTACCGTTCGACAAGCGCAACGGATATCCAAGGCTCCGGCTCTGTTTACGTTTTCGAAAAATTTAATAATTGTCGAAATAAATTCATCTTTGTGAAATGATGGATACGACAGAGAATAGGGATCGTTCCCATTTCCCGCGCCGTCCAATTAATCCTGAATCGAGATAGTTAGATAATAAGGATAATAAGATTGTATCTGTGGTAGTATCCGGGCTTTTTAGCGTATTGTGTTTTAATAACAATTTCATCGACTAATTCAGAACCAATTTTTCCTCGAGGAAGGTATCGAACTACCTATTGTTCTCGAGTAATTAGCGATAGAAAATAAAAAGTTTCTTCCGAAATAAGCTTCGCAGGAGAGACTAATTGAAAATAATAACCAAAGGAGTAACAAAACAATCTTCTATATAATTAAAATTTATTAATTTTTCCGGCAAATATCGCTTTAATAAAATTTTAATTTTAAATTTGACGCTCGCAAATCAAATTGACTGATTTTTAATTAACATATATAATTCTGATTATTTGATAAATTGCGGTTTAGATATGTATAAACAGCAATTTGATGTAATTTAATGATAAACGACACTCTGATAACTCTGATATATTTTCAACTACGGAAAAACTGGCTAAATTGGTCAAGAAATCCGCCCTTACAGAGCAACGTGATGCAAGCGGGCGCCCCCCCCTGCCCCGGGTGTACAAGGAGAAAAATCTATGACGTACTCACCAGTCAGTTGCAGCCGCCCTACATTGCTGCTGACGACGGTGTCCTGAGTTAACCGGTGATGCGTCCTGCACCGATACGTCATCTGCGCGTCGCTTCGCGTAATATTGATTATCATCAACTCGCCGGTCGGCAGCATATGATATTTGCCATCTATAACAACACGCGTCGGGGAGGAGGAGGAGGAGGAGGAGGAGGTTTGAATTACGTTTCTATCATCATGGAAATCTAAATTGATCGGAAGGAAATTACGTGTTTATTTATATATACGTGCGCGCACGTAGATGACGTCATGCAATATAACTCCTGTTTTCCAGCGATATAATTAATTTGCGACAATACCTATTATACGTATATGACAAAAGGCAACTGTAATTTTAGAATAATTCGATTCCTCCTATTTCATGTTAAATATAATAATTCCATATCTGTTATTTTAGAGCAATTACCCACGCTGGTTCGCATTGAAAAGCCCGCTACCCGTATGTCCGTTTTCTTATTTCTTTTAAATTATACTCACCGCCCATTGTGGAGGGGTAAATATTGAAGACCGGTTCTTGAAGCCAAGACGTGACCGTGACGTGGTCGCGAACAAAACTGGGCACGATGCAGCGCATGAGCACGTTGTTGCCGGGGAACCCGCTGGGATTTTGCACTTCCGGATCGTAACGTTGGTTTACCACTGCAACACGTAACGATAAGTTCCACTCTCTCCCCGGTCCATATACCACGGTTCCGGGGACTATAAGAACTATAACGCAAATGCTAATGGCGCTGCCGCGCGGCCGCAGCGAGGGGTGTTACAATTCGCTTTTGATACACGTTCGTCGATAAGAACCGAAACGGCACAACGCGGAACAGTTTGCCACGTTTTGAACAACGTTCGACGCCGCTTCTAATTAGAGAGCTCTCATAAATGTATGCGCGGACATGCGTAATTTTATTCCCCTTGTCCTCTGTACACTTAATGATCTGTTTAACGCATGTTTGCGGGTAAACACGCGTTACATTTACTGCGCGTATCCGCATGTTGAATTTACACTATCAATTAATAAAATGAGTAACAAATAGCCTTCGTTAATTTGATAGAAATTTAATAATTGTGCAAAATAATGGAACACAAGGGGATGAACAATGGCGGAATATTCGACGCCGCGGAGAAAACGCCGCGGGAACGATCATCATGTGTATGTTAAATTATGCAGATTTACTATGCGCTTTTATTCATTTTCATTTCTCTGCTAGGTAAATAAAAAGATAAAAAAGAGCGAACACGCTTTCTTTATACCACTATATTTTTACGATTAAATCTTTTACATCGCGCGAATAATTTAACGTAATCCGTGTTAGAGAAACTTCGTGGTTTACGAAAAAGTTATTTGTATGTCCGCGTCAATGATCAGCTGAAAAAAACTCGCGAGAGAGCGCAATTCACGGGGAAACATGACGTAACGCGAGTTTCTTTGAGTAAATCACATCATCCCCCGCGTTTAAACCGCCTTCATTTTTGCCCTGCCGACTTTTGCGCGCTAACGAGAGCGCTCGTATGGGCTTGATAGAAACGAGGCAGCACAATATGGACAGAGTAGAAAATCCCAAAAGGCGGTGGTCTTATCCAAAATCTCATGTCGCGATCCGCCCCTCACCCGGCAGCCCACGTAAGTTGATGGGCTCGGCTGAAAGGTTGGTAAGGGCATGTCTAAGAGGGAGATGGAATAAGGTTGTAAAGAACGTGGAAGGCAGTCAGGCAGCCAGGCAGGAGTCTGAAAGAGAGAGAAAGAGAAAGAAAGAGAGAAAGAGAGAGAAGTGGAGAGAAAGAAGGAGAAATAACGAAAGAAGGTGAAAAAGGATAGAAAAGCGGACGATGGTGGTGGCGGCAGCCAGGGAATCGCTGTGGTGTGGTGGTGCGTTGGGGTTCTCTCTCTGCCTCCGCAACCCGTTTCGAGAGTCAGCGGAGCGAGGCACTCAGACTTCAGAATGGGGTAAAAACTCAGTGAGTTTGCCCGTACTCCATCCACCTTCTCGTGCTCGCTCTATCCCCTCACTCGACTCCTGCGCACGCTACCATTTTCTCTCTCTCTCTCTCTCTCTTTTCGTCCCTTTCTGGTTGCCTTTCCCTCGGCAGCCATCCCTTTCTAGCTTTCCCCGCGTATCGCTCGTTCGGCTCTCTCGGTTACGCGGCAACCAAGCCGAACATAAACTCGGCAGACGTCTCGTGGCAGGTAATATTTACAAAGCATGAAACGAGCAGAGAGAAGAGATAGTAGAAGGGAACAGAGGGGGAGGGAGGAACGTAAAGAGGAGATAGAGGACGAAGGGAATCAAAGAGCGAAAGACAGAGAGGAAGATGCCGCGCGCAAGAGCAGCGACGTCGACCAGAGCTTTCCATCAGAGCACGCATCCGTCCTCTCTCTGCGAATCATCCACTAGAAACGAAAACCGCGCTTTTTCGACAAGTTGGATTTTATGCAAAAGTATCGGAGGACCCCTCTCGTGAGGGGACGTGATTACCCGACGACAAATCTGACGAGTAGCGATGTTTTAAACTCGAGAGTGCGGATAATAATGTCAGATACGTATATGTTTCCGCGTATATGTGTGCATGCACGCGCGCTTTTAAAGAATAAAAAATGTAATTAAGTCAGAATAAACGAAACAAGAACTTATACATCGTATATATATAAATCACGGACTGTTCCTAAAATAAATATTGTAATAGCTTTCTTTCGATTATATAATTCTACAATAAATACCTTTAGATTCTACTTCAATAAGTAACGAGTTAAAGAATATATAATTTAACACCGAGTAATAATTTTATATAAAATTTAAAGAAACCCCACGCCGACGTACTTCCGAGTTATCTTTAAACTTATAAGCTGCTAAGCTGAGAGACACGAGCCGGGGGTTGAAAACGTGAATGTCCGTCTCGTAAAAGTGAGCGACGCGGTTCCTACATGTAGTTTTTATAAAAGAGTCTAGTATACGGTTGTTAAACTTACTCATTTTCTCGGTATAAGGAGGCACATCGTACACACGTCCGTATATACGCGAGGTAATGCCGTGTAACGCGCGCTCGCTTCGTGCTCGGCTATCATGCATATCGGTCGAGCGTACGGAGAACAACGGTTGCCGAATTTTCGAGGTATACATAACGTGTTTCTCAAGTCGCGTCCATTTCGTTCGTTCCTGCGAAATAAATAAGTTCCGCGATATCGTTCGAGCTGAATACGAAATTCAGTTCGCCTCTGAGGCGAACGCGAACGTGGTGGAAAACGGACAAACAGCGAGCGCAAACGCCTAGTGTCCGCAAAACGGTAAGTATTTGTTATCCGGTCTCGTTATCCTCGCCAGTGCAGACTAGATCGGATCTCTTTCTATACTTTGTCAGCTTATTGTGCATATACCAAGTCATGTCATAGAGAGTAGCACATATTCCTCAACAAGCTCGAGCTTGAACTTCCTCGCAAATGATGCCCTGGCGGTTTATTTTCTGCCATCTCTTGTCATCTCTTATATCGTTCGTCTTACATCGTTTCGGGACATCGTTCAGGATCGATGATGAAATATGTCAAGTAACCCAGAGACTAATGGCTTGTTTGTCTCGTAACTCTGCGGGAAAATACTGAATGATGGAAGCTGCTCCCACGGGAAAGTGTTTTGGTCGGATCCCACGTACCGGAACACAATGAACGTAATGTATCGTCATTAGAATCTTTCAGTCCGCCAGAAAAAATAATCGAGATAAATAACCACGAGGTTCTCGCGCGAAAGTGGAAAGAAGACTCATAAACTGCTTCTTTAAAAACTAATTCCTTTGGAGGAAGCTTTCTTTAACGGCGGCGGAAAGTTTTCTTTCTTACGGAGACAAAGTAACCCCACATGACAGGGGTATCCTCCCCTTTCTCTCTCCATTTTTTTTGACAAAGCGTCGCGATTACATACGGCAGCTGCCGAGGTGGTATAAGGAAAAACGAAGAAGGCGACATTTCCGGCGGCAACCAGCAACGTGCTCGAGCGATCGCGCACGCAATCATATCCATTTTGTTTCCAAGAATAGAGAGCGCGCGCAGCCGAAAGATTTTTCTCGGAGGACGGAAGGAAGCGCTAGCTGAAGCCGGGCGCGGAAGCGAAGCGGCGCGCGGGCGGGAAGGAAGGAAGGCGAGGGAAAAGGCAGGATGAGACCGTGAAGGAGATGAGCAAAAAGAAAATGGCTGAGGCGGATACTAGGAGCTGACGCGGCAGAGGCACCAGGCATGAATCTGAAAAGGTATGGGCTGCGTTCACGCGACGATGATTTACGGGCGTATTAGGTCGATAAGATATCTTCCGGTTCGTTGACCCGGCGGAAGCTCCTATTTTTAAGGCGCCTCGCGGCCTCCTTTTACTCCATTTACCCGTCCCTGCCTTCTTTCTCTTTTCTCGCCGTCTTCTACTTCGATACTCTTGTAGACGCGAGTTTTGGAAGGTATCGCGTCGTCGAGCAAAAAGAATCCGTAGACGGATTCTCCCTTCCTATAACGTGATTTCAGTGACTAAGTACCCTGGCTGCCCAACACGAGATTTCTAATATTTTATCTGGCTAATGCCCGCGAAACCGATATTTTCCTCGCGAAGCGAATAAACTATGGAAGATTCTTTTGTGCATGAATATTTTCTCATGTAGAGTAAAAAATAGAGTAAGAGAATATTAAAGAGAATATTAAAAATTAATGCAATATTAAAAATTCCAATCACTTATTCGTTTAAATCAAAACAGACTCTTCCGGGAAGTCGAGATCTTTTTATTTAAATTGTCAAACGCAGCAATTTACTTAACTCATTAACTCGCGAAACCTCAAGTTATAAGAAAAATACATATTTTTAAATAAATACAAACTGGAAATCAATAGTTAGCTAAGTTATTCGATTATCACTCTAGATTGTAACGCGAAAACTCTCTCTTATTTAATTCATCGATGTCTGATGTGATAAATTGTAACAATTCTTAACACACGGCATCCGAGTAATTCAGAGTGACGTCTTCCAAGGTTTTCTCCTTTCTTTCAATATAGTATAACTAAAAGCTGCGATTTCGGTATCTGGTAATTCCATTATCCTGTAGATCCCGCCGCGACGGAGAGACAGCCCCGTTACTTAGCTTGTCGATTACAGTTCAAATACAATATATGTATAAACGTACGCGAGAAGGAAATTTCATCTCATCGGCCGGGGGACCAGAGGACCAGAGGAGACGATCGAATCCGTGGGCCGTGAGAACGCGAGTCCGTTCGCGGATAGAGACACCGCGCACACGCGTCACTCACGAGACCCCCCGTCTTCACGAACCACGTAGGATACGAGGACGAGGACACGATATTGGGGAGAGCAACGCGAGAATAATGCGGAGAAACGGACCGCAGATAACGAGCTTGGCAAGTTTCGCTCGGTTGACACATACCTGCTCTGACGGTGACGTCTCTGCTAACGACCGCGCCGACACTGTTGACGGCGGAGCACTTGTAAATGGCCCAGTGGACGTCCTGCCGGAAGGCCTCGGCCTCGAACGCGGGGAAGTGTATCGTCCCGTTGCCGAGGACGTGCCTGATACCGAGGATGTTCGTTATACTGCCGCCGTCCGCCGCGAGCCAGTCGACGGTCGGCAGCGGGTTACCCCGCACCGTGCAGTCCACCCGGCCGCCGTTCGCGTTGGTGAACTCCACCCTGGACGGCGGCTCCGTCACGAAGCTGGGTCCCTGTGTCTCGTAGGAGGCGTCGCTGGTACCTGCTTCTCAGAAAGAGGGGGGAACAGGACGAAAGACGTCAGATATGTATTAACGGTAGAACGCAAAGCGGCTTAACTATATTCAATTAAGATTACGGCTCCCTATTTCCCTCCCCCCTCCCCCTGGCAGCTCACTGTACATATTTCGCGGATATCTGCGGATCTGCCTTCCGCCTTTCCTTTTCATTATTCATTTCGCATCGCCGCGGCGCCATACAACTTTAAATACGCTTAAAATTTCCATTACCGGCGCGGCGTCGCGCTCTCTCGCGAATTCCTGGAAAAATTGTCCGAAACTCGAAACTGAAAATTGTCCGCGCGAATTTCTGCGCGGACAAAACGATTTCGAGCCGGCATCTAGCGCGCGCGTGTTCGCACACGGTCGCGCTTTATTTCGCGATTCTAATGCGCCATAAATTCTAGAGTATTACGAATAACAATCAGAAACGCATTAATCACGCGGCAGCGTCAACGAATGGACACTCCGGCGGTGAATTTTTCGTTCACCACCGGCCGAATGCGAAGTAATTTTCTAAACGGGGGAGGGAAGGGGGGAGAGTGAGAGAGTCAACACCGCGAGAGAGAGAAAGAGAGAGAGAGAAGGGAGCGGCGGTGGGACGTGCACTGTATCGTCGACGGACATGAACGAAGATAATACGCCCGGCCATAAATCATACATTTAACGCTGAAATTCGGCCGTAATAGCTTCCATAAATGGAGCGCATTGCACGTCCCTCTCCCTCGTCGCCCCTCCTCCCACCCGCCGAAGCCTGTTAACCATTCATCACCCGAGTTATGTTGATTTAAGTAGGAATGCCGGTTCTCTCTCTCTCCGCTCCCGATGTATTCCGCATTCCGTCCAGCATTGCTCATCTGGAAGCTGCTGGCCCGACCAAGTGCGGGACTATCCGCACGTTGCAGAACGTGCAACGAATGACGCGCGCGCCCGCGGCGCGTTTCCGTGTGTGGCCGTACCCGAACGAAATCGCGATCGATGCTCGTCAAAGGACGCGCGTTTTAGGAATTTAGCGTTTCCGAGCGTATAAAGTTTCGACGTGTGCGAAACTTGAAAATAAATTACACGAGTGCCATCAGGCATTATGCGAAAAAGAAATTACGATCACGTCCCGCAAGTCGCAGTTACGAAATAAATTATCAACCTGATATTATCGGCCTGTGTGTACGCTAAACTATAAATTTACAAGTCAAAGTACACACGGTTAGACAGCTTGCGATGTTGCCTTCGCTAAAACTACGTGCTTTTATCTGCGTGGCGCAGGCTCGAGTCCAAGGTACTCTCTCTCTCTCAGTAGCCGAATATAGCCTGAAAGTAGCGACGTCGGAAGTTGTTTTGGCCGAGTCTCCGATGAGCGCTTACGTTGGCAATTCCCTCCCTTACACCAAGCCTGGCGCGAGCTTAAATCTTGATTACTTATCTCCCATAAGCCAAGGCAACGTTTCTAGTAGCCCGGCGGATTCCCCATCCTCGTGGCGTCGTCTCTCGGACGTGCACGTTCGAATCCGGAAAGTTATCGTTTTCTCGAAAAAGAAAATCGCGGACTCTCTCCTATAAAAGCTGTAGTACCCGGCAAAGATTTACTTCCTGCCTTACCCTCTCTTCTTCTACTTCTCTCTCGCTTCTTCCCTCTCCCTCTTTCTTTCTCTCTTTCTCTCTCTCTCTCTTTCTCTCTTTCCTTTTTCCTCGTTTCCCTCCGTTTCTCTCTCCGTTCCTCTTTCTTCAAAGCCGACTAGCCGACGGAGTTTCGAATCTTAACATTGGGCGCACTCCACCATCGCCCGGATAACCAGTGCATTGCGGACCTGCGATTGGATATATATCTTGCGACCTACATTCACCCCGAACTCCGTAATCATTTCCCCGCGGAGGGAAGAGCGGGGAGGGAAGGCGTCCTGCATAAAAAGTTAACTCTTCATCTTCCACGAGTTCCTACGGTTCGCGTTATAATTCCACCGCTGTTCGTACAACCATTTGACATACGTCGGCCGTCTTGCGATTCGATCGTTATACCCGGGGATTCCCCGATTGCGGCGGCGTATACATCAGAAATACGATCTCGGGTCTCTGATCCCGGGTCTCTTCTTGAATCAGATTGGATTACGAACGTAACAGGAGCGTCATATCAGAAAGATTAATCGCGTCAGCTTGTTTTTTATTTTATACTTGTACCCACATTGATGGATATGCGTTCTCGTAACTTCGTGATATTTCATCGATCTGACGTTTCTCCGGTATGTAAAACTTCGCGAAATTTGCAAAATCCCACCTTTTTATCTGATTATAATACGTGACGAAGCCAGATTGCGGAAATAGATCGAAGATTGAGCCGTGTTGAACGCGCTCGAAATACGTTGGCTCATCAAAATAGCTAAACAATGGACGGCGAGTGTGGAGGGACGGGCGAATGCGTAGCTAAGGGTTGCATCTACTCTGGCACGTACTCAACTACACACCCACTCTAGGGGCACTCGGCGGGACCCATGAGAGGAAAAGAGGGACAGAGAAGGAGGGAGAGAACACGATCGCCAGGCCGGCTGTCGTAAGCGATACGTCGGGCAAACTAGAAGCGTAACACCATGTCAACCCTCGACGTCATCATGAGCGTACCACCGAAGACGCCTACTTGTGCTTCTTAGCCGGCAACCGTGTTGAAGAGACGAGACGAGACGAGACCGAGGGCGCGACGACCGACCGTATAATGTTTTGTGTCAACATCCATCCGAGAATCCGCATCCCCTTTAAGTTGCCTCAAGTGCCCGCTTTTATTCACGTTCTGTTCGGTGTGTCCTTTCGTGGAACAACGCAGTTGTCAATTAAAATGTTCGATAAGAAGCGGGCGATGGTTTCCTTTCAGATGTCACGCGGAACGCAATTGTAGTAACTTGGTGATATTGTATGTATTCTTATTTAACATTTAACGACTAAAATTTCTAAAAGAAGCGAGCAACGGTTTTCTTTCAGATGTCTCGCGAAACGCAATTGCAGTAACTTGGTGATATTGCATTCTTATTTATCATTTAACGAATAAAATTTCTATGTAGATAATTTCGCGTGAAGATTAAGATAAAAATTGAGAAATTAAACAATATTTTTCCTACTGTTCGTAAAAGACGTGCAACTTTATACGTATGTGGATATATTAACCCCTTCACTGTTTGGACGAAAATCACAAAGTGGACTAAAAATGTCCGGGGCATTCTACATTTATTTCATCATGACGTATATACACGTCATTCGCAGTTTGAGCCCACCTTGTCAATGACGTGTATACACGACATTGACAGCGAAGGGGTTAAGCAAGAGTTTGATCGATCGTACATCTCGATTTATTCGGAATCGTTTATGTGAAATTGTGTCATTAAAATAAATGTTTCTACAAAGAGAACATTTATGCGTTTCTTATTTATCAAAAGTATATCCATGTTATATCTATAATTCTCCATTTCCAATATTTTAAATATTTATCTCAAGCCTACACAGGCTTTTTCCCGTTTAAATAAAATATTGAATATCCCAGGGGTTTTGGACAACGTATCATTATATTTTTTTAACCGTTTGCGTAGACTAAAAACTTTTCCAGCGAGTAACACGAAGAATAATCGTTTCATCCTTCGTGATTTTGAAAAGTCAGCGTAACTAATAGCGAACCGGCGAACTTAGTCAGCATCGCTGACTAATTGCCGATGAGAGATGAGAGGGTAAAGCCCCTTAGTGGTGCTGACGCGCATACAAAGGGCGGAAGAAGCGTCGAACGGAGCAGTCTCCGCTCCGGAATCAACGGCCATTCACCGGCGTACGATTCTTTCCACGCAGTTCGAAGAAGAACGGCGAAGAGAAGGACGAAAGGAAAAGTTAAGTCCGCGGGATATCCACGCGTGGCGGAGACAGACGAAACGCGCGCGCGGCTGTGCGGTATTGGATAGCACAAAGTAAGATAGGAGATCAGAACGGGAAGAACGGAGAGAACGGATGGATGGTGGATGTACCCGTGGATCGAAGCGAATGGTGGATATGCAAACGGATGGGGTGGAAAAGAGGAGGGGCGCGCGAAGGAGAGAAAATGAGGCGCCCTGTCGGTGGTTTGTCCGACAATGCAAACCGGCTTTCTCATATCACTGTATTGTTTCCATTGTTCCACCGGCTCGCGCCGAGGGATTGTTAGCCGTTAACGGGGAACGAAGAAGTCAGGGAAGGTTCGGAAAGAGAGGGAACAGGGTATCTGCCAGGTCCTAACGCCGATCGTCATCGCCATTCGCTTCCCGTCGCCGGATGTTCCGCGCAACTCTCGCGGGCATAATAAGTAATTTCCGTCGGCGACGTACTCGCGAAGTATCTGCGAAATTTCTCATCTTCGCGTACGCGTGACGCCAAGGATGGCAATAGAAATGGCAGACGTATACTGAACAATTTTATCGCATATATGTCGATTTAATATATATTCGCGCGATAATTTGTGAAATTATGGAAGATCGAAAAATGTATCGAAACAGTTCGTATGAAGAGAATTCACTTATTGATTTATAAATTATTTAGCGTTAAACAAAAGCTTGCATTATGCATTGTTAATGCAAAGATAAAACATAATTTTATATCGTGATGAAATTACGTGGATCCTCACGTTGGTATGCAATTGGCTAATAAATCGCCCGCGTGTGTGCGCGCGATGTGAAATGTTGTTCTAAAGGAATTTCACAATCGCCAATAGAATTACTGAAATGTGAAAACGAATAAACGCGGGATAAAACTTGTAAAACGGATTATACTAAACGGATCGTGCAATACCTTCCTGTATGACGAGTCGTAGACCTTATCGGCGAATTACGCATGAAATTACACGCGAATGCTTTTTCAGTAGTGATCAAAAATCGCGGCGATCGCCAGTTTTCGAGCAATTGAATTTTAAATTTCATAACAATTATTCCATTACAACAAATTTCTTTTTCTAAAGAATTATATGTAGCCTTTATCAATAAAAATTATTCCA